AAGTCTATTTATCTTTTAATGAAAATTCAGCTGATCTTGTGACCAATGGAAACAAATACGACCAGGTGTTGGTTCATCTGCTATTATTATGTCATTTTTTTTTATCATATCTTATAGTTTTTTAGGAAATCATCATAAGATGTGCATGGTTTGTTCAGGATTTTTAGTTGGGGGATTTTTTTTACTGCAACATTAAAAGTAAATTTATGCAATTAATGTCGACTTGGAGCACACACCTTGTAAAATCAGTAGTAAGTTATGTTCTTTGCATTAATTTTGTTAGTTCGTTCTTTGCCTTAATGTTGTAGTTGAGTTTTTTTGTCTGTATTTTTTGTTTTTTTACAAATTATAAATCTTCTCCTAGTTTTCTTTGAAGCGAGGGGGATCCTTGGGCAGAAAAAAACTCTTAGAATCAGATTTGAGCGAAGAGAAAAAATGAAGGTTCAAGTACATAAACAAATTTTATTCAAATTTCAGTTTTGCGATCTAATCTATATTCTTATTTTTTCTCGTGTTTCTTGTTTCATCAGTAGGTAAACTAATCTCTCTTCATTTCTTTTCTAGTGTGTTTGTTTTGCCTAGGTCATCCATAAAAAGGTCTACGAGCTCCAACAAAAGGTTTTGCATGCAAATTAGATCCATTGAAGAGTTGAGTGAAATAAATTTCTTGATCTATATAGGAGTGACATTCAAGAAAGAAGAAGTGGATCAAAGAAGGGCATCATCTTCAGGTTTGTAACTGTACGTAATTTCTGGAAAGGGATGTGAAATGCTTTTCGTTTGCTGAGGAATCTGCATTGAAGCTGTAAAAACGTGAATGGGAAACGTTTTTAGAGTTGCTGATTGACATTTTTGTTGAATTTCTAATCGTTGGAGTTTCCAAATTATAGGAGTGGCATTCAAGAAAGAAGAAGTATATCAAAGAAGGGCATCATCTTCAGGTATGTAACTGTACGCAATTTCTAGAAAGGGCTGTGAAATGCTTTTAACTCTTTTGCTGAGGAATCTGCATTGAAGCTGTTAAAACGTGAATGAGAAACGTTTTTAGAGTTGCCGATTGGAAATTTTGTTGAATTTCTAATCGTTGGAGTTTCCAAATTATAGGAGTGACATTCAAGAAAGAAGAAATGAAACGATGAGGAGAAATAGAAAACAGTATAAGTAACCTTCCTTCCGTGTTACTAGAAATGTAAGAAACGTACAAAACATCTTAACTACTCTATAACATATGACCGTGTGGTAAGTGGATTTCATCTTAACTACTCTATAACTTTTTGAGTTTTTTTACTGATAATTAATAACTATGGTGATATATGAAGGTTGCCGTGGATAAATCTAAATCTAGACTTTCAGCTAGCTCTCATCATCAGAAAGACTGTATAAACACATGTCTTGAAAAGATAGTCATGTGTATTTTGATTACTTTTCTTTTCGCATGTTCGATTTATACTGCTGGATTGTCAATGTTAACGTATAGATTTTTCGATTATTCTTCTGGATATGACAATGAGTTTGATCTGATTTTGAAGTTAATGAGAAGGCGACAGAACTGCAGTCTGTGGGAAGCTCTTCAGGTGGCTCTGATGATGCTGGTATATTACAATCAATGAATCTGTATTCCAACTCTTAATACATGAATGAGAAATGTTTTTTTAGAGTTAACCTTTATTTTTTTTTTCTTTCTTTTGTAGGTAAATAGGTGTATGTGAAACACCTTCATAAGAAGTTACCGAATTGATGGTTCAGAATGCATTCACGGGATATGGAACTGTTAGGAATGTTGTTATTGTACAACAAAAGGTAAATTGACTGATAGATTTAATTGTACAACAAAAGACTAATACATGTAATTGAAAACAGTGATTAATTGATAGTTTTTTGTTGTGGTTTGTAGGTTGGTAAGGGTCGTCCATTCAGTTTTGGGGAATTTGAAGATGCAGGCGCAGCCCATAAAGCAAAAGCTGCAACAGTTTTTATCATCGCTGGAGAGAAAGTTTTTGTGCTGGAGAAGCATTCAAGTAGAGGAAGTGATATGTAACTTTCCAGGCTTGTCCACATATATTTGCAAGTCTATTTTTCTTTTAGTGAAAATTCAGCTGATCTTGTGCCAATGGTAACAAATACGACCAGGTGTTGGTTCATCTGCTATTATTATGTCATGCTATTTTGGATCATATCTAATAGTTTTTCATGAAATCACCATAAGATGTGCACAGTTTGTTCAGGATTTTCAGTTGGGGAATTTTTTTTACTGCAACATTAAAAGTAAATTTATGCAAACAGTGTCGACTTGGAGCACACACCCTGTAAAATCAGTTGTAAGCTCCGTTCTTCGCATTAATTTTGTTAGTTCGTTCTTCGTCTTAGTGTTGTAGTTGAGTTTTGTTGTTCTGTATTTTTCATTTTTTTAATATAATGAATCTTCTCCTAGTTTTCTTTGAAGCGAGGGGGATCCTTGGGCAGAAAAAATACTTTTAGAATCAGATTTTTGAGCTAAGGGAAAAAATGAAGGATCAAGTACTGTTGGAGGTAAAAACCGTACCCCCGGTTTTCTCCGGTACAAACCGAGATTGGCACAAACTAAGCCCGATTTACGAAGGGAATGTACCAGGAACATTGGACCGAGTGAGTTCTTGGGCCGAACATAGCCCAACAAGCCGAAGTCGGTCAGAAGCTTCTCAAAGGAACCGAGAAGTTCTCTGAGTTCAGAGGAAAATGGAAAGTTTCCGAATAGAAAAAGGAAACTGACGAGAAGAAAGGAAATTTTCGTGGGAAAAGGAAAATGACCGAGAGAAAAGGAAAGTCTTCTCGGTCCCATATCGCATAGAAGACCCACGAAGACCGACTTAGAAGACATATATAAAGGAAGAGGAATCGACACCAGAAGACACAAGAAATTCCAGAGAGACTTAGAGATTGAGAACTCAATACTTTAGCTTCTTAGTTTCATAAGTCTTAGTTCGTTATTCAACCGAACTCAGTTGTATTCTTTGATCGATCTAATAAAATCCGAGTTTGCCGATCTAAATTACTGTTTAGTCCCTTGTCGATATTCACATATCAACAATTGGCACGCCAGGTAGGGGGACTTAACAGAATACTCAGTTTTAGATCGAATTTCGGAGAGATCGAATCAGCTATGACGGACCAAGTCAACATCCATGAGGAAGAAAACCCTCTTGGTCAAGGAAACGGCGATATCCGAACCCCCGCAGAGCAGACAGGAGGAACCCCTGGGGAGATCGCTGGAGCAGAGGCCGGCCAAACTCCCGCAGCCGTAGGAGGCTTTGGAACTGAATTACTGTTCCAAGTGTTCAACGCTCAGTTTGAAGCTATCCACAAAAGGAGCAAAGAGCGCTTCAGTCAGATGGTGGCACAGATCGCCGAGCTCAGTCAAGCACGGACTCCCCTTCGAGTTCGGAACATCATTGATGACCTCAATACAGACGGCGACCCAGCCGGAACTATGCGATCCACTGCTGTCAGATCGGCAAACGCTCCAACACCACCGAATCTGAGTCGCGATGCCGAGTTCGAAGCGATGAAGGCACAGCTCCGCCAGATCACTTCGAAAATTCACCAAGCAACGACCGCGGCCCCGAAGATCGAGCGCGTCATTCAGGAAACACAAAAGACACCCTTTACATCGCGCATAGCGGGAACGCCTGTCAAACACATGGAGAAACTCAAGATCAAGATCTACGAAGGCAATACCGATCCCCGACATTTTTTGACCTCGTTCGGAATCTGCATGAATCGATATCAGTTCAGGTCTACCGAGGAGAAGGATGCGGTCCAGTGCTAGCTATTTGTCGAAAGTCTAGGAGGAATAGCTCTCGACTGGTTCTCACGGCTCGAGACAAACTCAATAAATAACTACAAGGAACTGACGACGGCCTTTGTCAAGCACTTCTCAATGTTCATAGGACAGAACACCGAGAACTCCGAACTATGGCAGATAGATCAAGGAGCAAACGAGAGCCTCCGTGACTTCGTCCAACGCTTCAAGACGATCGTCGCCAACTGCACGATCAGCGACGAAGCCGCCCTCTTATGTCTCCAGAAAGGAGCTCGAATAAAAACAAGCTTCCGGAGCGCGATCACGCACAACCCCCCGCAGACCTTGGAGGACGCATTACACCGAGCTAACACTTATATCACTGAAGAAGAAGAGGAGGCAGCTTATGAGCAGAGCTATTCGGCAAAGCAGCCCGAATGACCAAAGGCCGCCGCTAACGAATCACAATCGGGCTATAGCAGAGGGTATGAGAATTGCAAGAAGTTCTACGCTAACGCCATCCAGCAACCGGCCAAGCAGTGGAATAATAAGTGGATCCGCAGCGAAGAAGATCAAGACGAATCATCGTTCTGCGAATTCCATAACCGTAAAGGACATAGCACCGAAGACTGCAGACATTTACAAGAATACCTACTCGCGCAGTATCGAAAAGGACAAATCTCGCTCGACGATCTTCGTCGTTCAACCGCTCCGAGAAACAGGTCACCTCGACCGAATAACATACCACCCGAGAACGCCGTCGCCAAAGATCCACCAGCTTTACCAGTTTTACCGCCGCCTCCACTGAATCAACCTGGTTTACCCGAGCAACCGAAACACAACTGCGACGACCCTGCGCCAGAAAACCATACTCCCAAAGCAAGGAAACGTGTCAACATGATTATGGGAGCTATCGAAGCCTGCATCTATCCATCAAGGAATACAGCAGACATGCTGCCACCACGCCTAAGCTCCCGCACGATCCATCGAAGGGAACCCCTTTGATATTCACCGAAGCCGACACAATCGGGTTGCACAAACCACACAGCGACGCCCTCGTCGTCGAACTACTTCTCGACGATGTCGAAGTTAGTCGCATTCTTATCGATACAGGCAGTTCGGTCAACATTATCTTCAAACATACGCTTGATCTGCTCGATATACCATCAAAGAAAATTGAGCCCTTTATCGAGCCACTCATGGGGTTGATGGCGAACGCTGCATGACGGTCGGCACTGTCAAAATCCTGATCTACCTCGCCGGAGTTGCGAAGATCATCCAGTTCCTCATCCTTGACAAACCAGCGATCTACAACGCTATTCTCGGCACACCTTGGTTACACACGATGAGGCAGTTACCTATACGTACCATCAATTCCTGAAATTCCCGACTCCCGACGGTATTTACACTCTCCAAGGTAACCAATCCGTCACCCGATCGTGCTACATAAACGAATGCAAGCTGCGCTCAGCCAACCAAGCCTGCATCAACAGTTCTCAAGGTCCAACTGCCGATCTTATTGTCTAAAAAACAAAACCGAAACAAGATTCGATTACTCAAGTCTGCATCGACAAACTAAGGCCAGAGTGCCAGGTCGGCATCGGTGCCGAACTTGACTTAAAGATCCGTGACATCCTCGTTCATTTCCTGAAGCAACACTCATCCACCTTTACATGGTCAGTAGAGGATATGCCCGGGAGCGATCCACAAATCGCTTGTCATGAACTCAACATCGATCCGACATATAAGCCGATTGAGCAGAAACGCCGAAAACTCGGGCCAGAGAAAGCACAAGCCGTCAACGATGAGGTCGATCGGTTACTCAAAGCAGGATCCATCAGCGAGGTCAAGTACCCCGACTGGCTAGCAAATCCCGTAGTTATCAAAAAGAAGAATGGCAAATGGAAGAGTTGCGTCGACTTCACCGACCTCAATAAAGCATGCTCAAAAGACAGCTTTCCTTTGCCTCAAATCGACCGCCTTGTGGAGGCAACTGCCGAAAGCGAACTCCTCTCATTCATGGACGCATTCTCCGGGTACAACCAGATTCTTATGCATCCTCAAGACCGGGAGAAAACGTCGTTTATCATGGATCGCAGCATATACTGCTATAAGGTTATGCCCTTGTGTTTGAAGAATGCTAGAGCAACGTACCAACGCCTAGTTAACCGAATCTTCGCAAGCCAGCTCGGGCGAACTATGGAAGTCTACATTAACGACATGCTCGTCAAGTCACTCGTCGCTTCCGATCATGTCGGCCATCTTCGCACATGATTCGATATTCTAGACCAATAAGGCATGAAACTCAATCCCACTAAGTGCACTGTTCGGCGTAACGTCCGGCGAATTCCTCGGATACATAGTCACGCAGCGCGGCATTGAAGCTAATCCGAAGCAGATCGCGGCTATACTCAAGCTCTCGTCTCCAATAACCAAAAGAGAAGTCCAGCGGCTAACCGGACGCATTGCGGCACTCAATCGATTCATATCCAGATCGACAGACAAGTGCTTGCCGTTCTACCAACTTCTCTGCGGTAACAAGCATCTAGAGTGGAACGAGAAGTGTGAGGAACCTTTTTCGAGCTTAAAAAGTACTTGTCTACGCCACCAATTTTATCCAAACCCGAAGCCGGCGAGACACTCTACCTTAACATCACGATCTCGGAGTACACGGTCAGTAGTGTCCTTGTTCGAGAAGACCGTGGCGAGCAGGATCCAATTTTCTACACGAGTAAGTCCCTCGACGGATCGGCGTATCGGTACCCAACCTTGGAGAAATTCGCCTTCGCCGTGGTTATCTCCGCACGAAAGTTACGCCCGTACTTTCAGTCACACTCGATCGTTGTCATAACCGACCATCCTCTTCGCACCTTCCTTCACAGCCCAAGTCAATCCGGCCGACTCGCCAAATGGGCCATTGAACTTAGAAATTACGATATCGAATATCGAGGAAGGACCGCGACGAAATCCCAAGTCTTGGCGGACTTCTTGGTCGAACTCCCACCCGAGCTCGTCGATGCTAACCCGGCCGTACAACCCTGGATCCTTCATGCCGATGGCTCCTCTTCCCATAAAGGATCCGGCGTCAGAATTCGTCTCAAATCTCCTGAAGGCAAGGTCATCGAACAGTCATTCCGCCTCAGCTTCCCAGCATCTAACAACGAAGCCGAATACGAAACATTAATCACCGGATTACGCTTCGCCAAAGGAATCGGCGCCGAACACATCCACACCTACTGCGACTCTCAACTCGTAGCTAATCAGTTTCACGGCGAATACGAAGCTAAGAGTGATCGCATAGACGCATACCTCAAAGTCCTCAATGATACTGCTTTGGAATTCTCAACCTTCAAGCTTACGAAAATACCGCGAGACGAGAACGCAACACCCGATGCTCTAGCCGCCCTTGCGACTAACTCCGATCCTGATCTCCGGCGAACAATTCCAGTCGCGGCAATCAAACGACCTAGTATCGAGCCCGCTCCGAGCTGCAATATTGTTACAAGACGACGCGACTACGAATCCCGACCCAACCTCGCTCCACCCCTCACCCGGAAGAAAAAGCCTAAGGAAGTTGTCACCGATCTCGATACCGATATGAACGAACAAGACGACAACGAGTCCAATCACGAGGACGAATGCGAAGGCCAACACTTCCCAATTGATATCGAAGCTGAGGGCGAAGACGAGCCCGAAGATTGGACTTTAGAAATTGTTGGCTACATTGGCGATGGAACGGTTCCCGCAGACAAATGGGCAGCTCGTCGCCTTAAGGCTCGCACAGCTCGATACGTGGTCATTAAAGGCACCCTCCTTAGATGGGACGCGTCCGGCGCACTTTTAACTTGTGTTCACGGCAACGACATCATGAAAGTTATGCAGAAGGTACACGAAGGAGAATGAGGGAATCACTCTGGAGCTCGATCCTTAGCATTTAAAATCAAAAAAGCTGACTATTACTGGCCTACTATGCTCTCCAACTGCAAAAAGTATACTGCATGATGCGAGAAGTGCCAACGTCATGGCCCGATGATCAATCTTCCTACCAAACTTCTGATGACCTCGACAGCACCATATCCTTTCATGCGTTGGGCGATGGACATCATCGGTCCATTTCGTCGAACTACAACCCAGAAGCAATACGTTCTGGTCGTCACCGACTATTTCACCAAGTGGGTCGAAGCCGAGGTCTATCCCGAGATACACGGCATCAACGTCAAAAAGTTCGTCTGGCAATTCATCATCTGCCGACACGGCGTCCCGTATGAGATCGTCACAGATAACGACACTCAGTTCACTTCAATAATTTTCACAGATTTTTGCGCTAAGTAGAAAATCCTCCTAAGTTTCTCCACACAGCGATACCCACAAGGAAACGGGCAAGCCGAAGCGACGAACAAAACGATTATCGATGGTCTGAAAAAGCGACTGGATACGGCTAAGAGAACTTGGGCGGACGAACTTGATGGCGTCTTATGGTCCTATGGAACTACACCACGACGCTCTACCGGCCAATCACCTTTCTTCCTTGCGTACGGTACGGAATCTATGTGTCCAGTCAAACTCAACGTTCCTAGTATTCGCCGAACCATGCTCACTCAGCAACCCGACGTGAATAAAGACATGATGCTCGACAAAATTGACTCAGTCGAAGAACACCGAGAACGAGCATTACTCCGGATACAAAACTACCAACAACTGGCAGCTCGTTACTACAACAAGAAGGTAAAAGGCTGTCACTTTGAAGATGGCGATCTCGTACTTCGCAAAGTTTACCAGAACACCGAAGAAAAGAACGCTGGAAAGCTCGGCGCGAACTAGGAAGGACCATACCAAGTGATGAAAGTTGTTAAACCCGGCGTTTATCAATTCATGAAGCTCGACGGAACCCCGATCCCGCGATCCTGGAAGTCAATGCATCTCAAACGATACAACTAGATCGTCATCTGATCTAAAAACAAAAAAAAGCCTCCGAACTACTTAGTTCGGAGCAAAAACCCTTTTGTACTTAGAACTACGAATGACTTGATCCCTTTTAAAGGGTACGTAGGCAGCTCGTTACCGAGTCCAGCTATAACATCAATAAAATTTAATTAAGTAAAAACGTCTAAATTTTAGTTCGGTACTTGCGAGATACCAAACTCCTACTTTTCTAACATCGACTTCTTGGCCAGTTGTTCAATAGCATTCCACATGAATGCAGACTTAAAAAGTCGAGATCCGTCTCGCGAACACCCACATGGTGCCGTGGTAAAATCCACATTTAAAAGTCGGGGCCAGTCCCGCATTAAAAATTCTAAATCACCAAGAACAGTAAGCCTAGCCCATCTCGCATACTTACGTTCGACTTAGAAAACCTTGAGCTCGTATCGTGCGCTTACAAGAGTTCGATTAAACTCACTCTTCCAGTATGATACGACTCACTTGGGTTCCCCAGGCCGAGCTCAAATGTTTGCACAACAAGCCGAATTCCTCAGATTCGCACTATAAGCCAAGTTCTCAGCACTTGCACATATAAGCCGAGTTAACACAATTCGCTACCGAAAGATAAAATTAAGTTTGAACAAAACTCACTAAAAACCGATCTACTACTTAACAGATTTTTCAAATTGAAAAAGATACTCTAAGATAGAACAAAAAAAAAGCATATAATAAAGTCTTCCGAAAGGCAAATAAGTTTGAAATATAAAAACCCACCAAGGGTTCAGAAATAAACAAAATATTACAAAAACACATAAAATAACCCATTAAAGGGCAATTGAGCTCGACTTAGAGAAGAAAAAAAAGTAAAAAGACTAAACAGTCTTAGAAGTCGCGGTTTGAACCGCGTTGAGTATCTCATCATTCGAGCCGAACTGCTCGCCTCTCGCCTGATCCTGCACGCTTGGAGTCACGTTCTCGGCTGGAGCATCATCACCATCTTCCGGAAGAGGAGACATTCGCTTATCTTCTTCCGTGAGGACAAAAGCATCAACCAAACGAAATTCTTGCAGCGCCTTAGCATGCTTCGTCTTGATCTCAGCCACCATCTCGGGCGGAACTTCATACAAACCCTTTTTCTTAAGCTGTTTGATGAAGCCGAGAACTCCGGTAAGCTGGTTAACTACCAGTTAAGGCTTACGAGCCCGATCAGCATCGTCCAAGCTTCAGATAACCTTTTCCAAGCGTTCGCAAGCCTTCGCATGAACACTCTTTGCTCGACCCTTCCAATGAGCCACCAAACCCTGCAGTTGCTCCTTATCTTTCTCGAATTCCCGAGAAAGTAAGCCCTGCGCTTCTGTCAGCTCGGCTTTCACTGCCTTAAGCTACGAACTCTCCTGCTTCAGCAGGTCAACAGCAGTGTGGAGCCCATCATTGATCTGGAGCTCGGTGGCGAGACGATCCTCAGCCTTGGAAATCCGTTCTTCCAGCTCTGCGACTCTCACTTGTTCGTCATACAGAGCAACTTCGTATGCCGCGACCAAATTGTTGGTTTGGCTGGCGAGCTGCGAAAAAGAAAATTAAATCAGAACTCATACTTAGGGAAGGAAATAAGAAAAGAATGGAATCAGGAAATTACCACGGCAGTTGTACGTGCGATCCCTTTGTACAAATTAGGGAACCGAAGCTCGGAGATCGCTGGAAGACTCGAGACCTCAGTGGAGATCTTGTGGTAGAGGTCGACGCAGGCGTTGACGTTCTCCTCAAAAGGGACTTCCTCATCATAGTCGAAGCAAACCTTAGTCCTCTTAGCCGGCTCTGGTTCCAGAGAATCCTCGGCATGACCTCTTTCTTGCCTTTTCCGAGAGTTGGAAGCTTCAGGCTGATCCTGAGGAACCGCGAGGTCCGATGTCACAGCCATCGGAGGATCGTACTCAGCGGTAGCGTCCTGCGCCCGAGAAGAGTCTTCGATCCTCTTGATTTTCTTTGAGGATTTCTTATTTTTTAGCTTCTTCTGACCAGCCTGATCAGGCGAGTTCGCAGCTGGCGACAGTTCTTCAGGCTGTTCATTAATCCCTTCAGTAACAGGGATGGGATTCAGAACTGCATCGTTCGGTTCCTCCTCATCGAACAGAGTAGGGATCTCATCTAGTGAAAGCATCCTGGCAGTTCGAGCTCGTCTAGCTTGCGGCTTTGGCACTTTCCGTCTGGGAGCAGCTCGAGGCTTGCTAGCTAGATTCTTTGGCTTCAGAGGCTTCGGTTCCTTAACAGAAGCTGTAAAACATATAAGGAAGAGTTCAGAAAAACTCAAAATAAGAAGATAAATGTGAACCTATTAATCAAACCTGATTTCTTAGCTCGACGCCGAAGTATTTCTTCCCAAACTTCAGGCCAACGACGTTTACCGGCTTCGCTAAAAGCTGCTTGGAATTCAGGAGTAAGTCCGGAATTGAGTAGAATGCTCGGAAGATAACAACCTGAAAAGATAAACCGAAAAAGGAGTTAGAAAAATATGAAAACAAAAATCAACAAAGTATAAGATCGTCTAGATTTACCGATCGGAATCTTCCACGCCGATTGAGTTGGGATGTCAGAATTGTCGACTGTGATATCGTTCATCTCGAGAAAGAAATACTGGGATTCACAGTCGTTATATTTACTGGGTTTGATCCCAGTGACGATATCCTTCTTCGGCTTCGCGTTAGCCGCGAAGAACCACTCTTTGGACTTGTGAATATTGACCAAAAGAGATCTTCAAAGAGCCGACTAGTCAGAATTTCGTCGAGCTCGATACATAAGGTAACGAAACCGACGTAGTTCGTCACCGACGCCGGCATCATCTAAGTAAGAGCCACGCCTTGCCGATTACAATACCCGAGAAGACGAGAGGGAATTGGGAGAGAGAGCCCGCATTACGTAAAGTAAGTCAAATAAACGCAGAGGAAGCCTTCGGGAACGTTCCATGGCCGATCTCCAGCTTCAGGTATAATAAAGACAACTCTTTCTGCGAGCCCGTGATCCTCGAGTACGGCCTGAACTGCCCTCGGAGAAAGAGAAGAAGCCGGTACGTCATGAGGACGGACAACTCTTCGTTTCGGAATTGGCGGAGAGGCATGATTCACCGCTTCAAGGTTGTCCTCGGCAACATCTATCTCGGCGTCGTTCCCTTCAAGATTCTCTTCTTCAGATTCTGCAACTTCCTCGATCTCATGGTTAACGCCATCAACGTTCTGTCCGACTCGAGCTCCAGTTTCATGAGTCTCTGCTGTCAATTGCTCAGGCGCCTCTATTCTCGATCGAGCTCGGATGCTACTCGCACCGACCGATCCAGAGTTCTTACGGACCAGCTGTGGAAGATTACTTTCCCTCTGAGAAGAGTTCGGTGAAGGAGGATTTAACGAGGAGGAGCTCGGCTCCGAAGATTCACGACGATCCTCCGGCATGATTTGATTAGAAGAAGAATTGATCGAAGAGCTAGAAGACATTATTTTTTTCGGAAGGATGGAGTCGAAAGAAGATCTGAAGGAAATGAAGAACAGGTTGAAGATCGATCGGAAAGATTGAAGGTGGATCAGAAAACTTGAAGATTGATCGGAACTTCAAAGGTTGCGGCGGAGGAAGTAGAATGAACTAATGAGAACTGCTAATAAAAAACCTAGAGAGAGAAACAAAATCTAGAGAGAAGGGAGAGCAGCATACCTTATATATGCTTGGGCGAGAATAATGAATGCGAGGAGGATTTATTCCTTTATAAACAGTGGGAATCGTGGTTTCTTGATTTTCGCGAAATCCCAGAATTCACGCGCCTCATTGAAGATAGGTTGCGAAACGTCCGGGAAAGTGAATCGATCGAAGTTACCGAGCTCGGTTTGTAACTAACTTTTAGATTTGGCTCAAATGGGTTCGACTAAAAGTCGTACCCTTTCATCGAACTGAGGGGGGGGGGCTAAATGTTGGAGGTGAAAACCGCATCCCCGGTTTTCTCCGGTACAAACCAAGATCGGCACGAACTAAGCCCGGTTAACGAAGGGAATGTACCAGGAACATTGGGCCGAGTGAGTTCTTGGGCCGAACATAACCTAACAAGCCGAAGTCGGTCAGAAACTTCTCAAAGGAACCGAGAAGTTCTCTGAGTTCGGAGGAAAATGGAAAGTTTCCGAATAGAAAAAGGAAACTGACGAGAAGAAAGGAAATTATCGTGGGAAAAGGAAAATGACCGAGAGAAAAAGAAAGTCTTCTCGGTCCTATATCGCATAGAAGACCCACGAAGACCGACTTAAAAGACATATATAAAGGAAGAGGAATCGACACCAAAAGACACAAGAAATTCCAGAGAGACTTAGAAATGGAGAACTCAATACTTTAGCTTCTTAGTTTCATAAGTCTTAGTTCGTTATTCAACCGAACTCAGTTGCATTCTTTGATCGATCTAATAAAATCTGAGTTTGCCGATCTAAATTATTATTTAGTCACTTGTCGATATTCACATATCAACAAGTACATAAACTAGTTTTATTCAAATTTCAATTTTATGATTTAATCTATATTCTTATTTTTTTCTCATGTTTCTTGTTTAATTCTCTCTTCTTTTTTTTTCTAAAGTTTTTGTTTTGCCTAAGTCATCCATAAAAAAATCTTCGAGGTCCAACAAAAGATTCTGCATGCAAATTAAATTAATTGAAGAGTTAAATGAAATAAATTTCTTGATATATATATATATATATATATATAACAAAAGGTTTTGCATGCAAATTAGATTAATTGAAGAGTTAAATGAAATAACTTTTTTGATATAATATATATATAAATTAGATAACATACGTATAACATCACAAACATGTAACAATAAAAAATGCATCATATATATATATATATATAATTTTTTTTCCTGTTCCATTTTTTTCAAAATTATTTAAAGATGTTTATTTTAATATTTTAATGACAACTTGTACATTATACAGTATCTTTTAGAATTGTTGAGTTGATTTTTAATTTAATATAACAAATGTAAATAGTGGGATTATTCTTTTCTATATTTAGTTGAATTGTAAAGATGTTGTAATTCTAGTTTATCAAGTCACCGTTAAAGGCAATTTCAATGCAATCTGTTACACCGTCTCTTTTCTTCTTCATTAACAATTATCCCAACTCGAAATCTAAAGATGATGGGAATAATGCATTCAGACTGCCATGGATTCGATCGTCAAGTTATATTAAAATTATGTTATAATTGAAAACCAACGAACTTATTGGTAAGGTTGGATTATTAAGTGGACTCGATCCACTGAAAAAAGAATATCTCTAAAGATATATGTCGACTTAGACCATCTCCAATGTAAATTTCTATTTTTTACTCCAAAATGGAGTTGTGTTTTGTTCTAATGTATGACTCCATTTTTGACTCCAAAAAAGAATATTCCTAATAGATTCTATTTTTCTTTAACTTTTAATAACCTATAACTTTTAGAAGTTACAAAATAACTCATTTATTTTTATTTTATCTAAAATATTTATAATTTACGAATTTAATAAAATTAAAATATTTATTAAATAAAAAATTACATAAAATCATAAAAACATAAGAAATTTAAGGCTATATTTTATTTTTGATTTGTAGAGGAATTGTATTCCTACTTTTTGAATAGTAACATTTTTGTTTTTTATTGATATGCAGTTCAGTCAAGCCAAACTAATGCTACAAGAAGATCCAAAGTTCAAAACAGGTTGGAAATTTGAACATGTTTGGAATATTATTAAAAACTTTGAAAAGTTTAAAGATGGTGCCGATCCTAAACGCATATTAATCCCACCTCGTGCCGAGTATACATCGTTCGAGTCTGGAAATTCCATTGATTCTCCTACACAAGCATCTCCAGGTTTGTCTTCATTTTCTTTAAACTTAGATGATACCGACGAGCTTACTTGCGGATCTCCCTCTCCACGACCAATGGGGATCAAGAAATCCAAAAATAAAAGAAAACTTGTTGATCAAACAACATCAGTTATCAACATTTTAGAAGAAGGAAATAAACAACTTTTGGAGCAATTAAAGAAGACAAGTGCACAAAGACAAGATCATCTGGAGATTCAACAGAAAAACTATGCTTTGAAAGAGCTGAAGATGGAAAACAAAATGTTATTTTATGACATGAGTTCCATATCAGATCCAAATATTCGTGCATATGTTCAAGGCGAACAAACAAAAATTTTACAAAAGCGGAATGCTCAACAACAAAATCAAGAATTTCCTCCTCCATCAACTTCGTTTGGACAATATTTTAATGATATCGGTGGATCAGGAAGCGATTTAGCAGAATATTAAATTGTTTGTATTTGTTGTGTTAAACTTTTATGTTTATCTTTGATTTTAGCACTTGTTGTGTATTTTTCAGTTTATTTTAAGTTGTAATATTTTGAAATAAAAATTTTAGTGTTCAAATATTTATGATTGTCTATTTTATATTTTTTTAAACTATTAAAGTCCTATAATCTTGTCAAAAAATTTTATAAACATGAATCATAAAATAAAAACTTAATTATTAAACCGATAGTTATATATATATATATACATACATAAAGACCATTTTTTAATTATATATATATATATATATATATATATATAAGTCAAAATGATATGTGTCATACAAATATTAAGTGTATATCTGAAAAAATGCATATAGCTATATATAATGTCGAAAATAATGTTGTATTGATAAAAAGTATAAAATTATAATGATTTAATATTTTAAGGATCAGATTGTAAATAAAAAAAGTATAGCTGCAAAATAGAGTAGAATAAAGTTTTACTCCAAATATAGAGCAATCTCTATTTTTCTCCATTTTGCAGTCAAAATAGAATAGGGTTGGAGTGAAATTTACTCCATAATAGAGTTTACAGCAAAAAATGGAGCAAGGTTAGAGATGCTCTTAGACCTTCATTGCGAAACTTGGGCTGAAACGATTAATTGCCATGGATTCGATCGTCAAGTTGATATTAAAATTATGTTATAGTTGAAAAGCAACGAACTTATTGGTAAGGTTGGGTTATTAAGTGGACTCGATCCACCGAAAAAAGAATATCTCTAAAGAGATGTGTCGACTTAGATTTTCAATGCAAAACTTGGGCTGAAACGATTAATTCCCACTAAGCCATATTCAAATTAATCAATTACAAATACAAAACAGCCTCATATCTCTTATATTTTACAAGACAGTAATATATAATTTCTGTTTTACAAAGTGCATTGGATTTTTTGATATTTACAAAAATACCACATAGGTTATCATATTTATAAAAGTCAACGAAATTTTTAGTATTATCAAAGCTGACCCAGGTCTTTTTATATTTTCAAATTGCCCCAGAATTTTTGGAATAACATTTTAGGTATTTAAAAAATCCTCCTAAATATTACGTATTTACAAATTACCCCATATCTTTCGTTAATTACAAACATTCCACAATTGTTTTTGCTATTTTCAAAATTTCCCCATACTTTCAAGTATTTACAAATACCCAATAACATTATTTACAACACTCCCCAAATCTTTTCGGTAATTACATATATGCCCGAATCCTTTGGTATTTATAAACGTGCCCCGTATCTTTTGGTTTTTTAAGAATACCCTAGTTCTTTTGTAATTATGGGATAATAATTAAAACAAAGCAAATTAACTGTGTTTTTATTTATTCATGCAGGTTGATTCATGAAAGCTGAAAGGCATGGCGGCCAGATGTTTTATTGAAAATCTCGCGCATGTGAACAAAAAGACAAAAACACCCTTTAACTATTTTGTTTATTTCCTTTTTTATTCATTTTTTTCTCCAATCATTCGTATTCTCCCTTCTTCCTCTCTTCTCTCTCTCGGCATCAGCCATGGCGGTTTCTATCTTTATCCCTCCAAAACCTCCTTTCTAGAGACCCCTCTCTCGATTCCGCCTTCTCATCTCCTGTAAACCTCGCCCAACGTTTCTTCATCACCGGTTTATGTAATTCCGTTTCCGAGGTTTCAAAATTTTCCTCGATTTTGATGGCAATTGTGACGGGAGATCGGTATGTTGAGAAGCTGCAGAAGTTTCTAGAGGATGAAGCCGAGTCGCTTCTCGAAGAAACCATAATTCTCAAGCTTAACCCAGCTGGTCTTCACTATGTTCATCTCCGCCTTGAGTCTCTCCGTGAGCTCGAGAGCATGCTCTCTGGTGCTCCTGTTGACTACCTTCGCGCTTACGTTGCCGACCTCGGTGACTACCGTGCACTCGAGCAGCTGCGTCGTATCCTCCGGATCCTCACTTCACTTAAGGTCGTTTCCACGCTTCCTTGGCCTTCTCGTGATCCCACGCCGTTATCTCTTATTCCCTTTGGTAGGCTTAAGGTTTTAGAGCTTCGTGGCTGTGATTTGTCCACTTCTCCGGCCAAGGGCTTGCTCGAGCTTCGCCACACCCTGGAGAAGATCATCTGCCATAACTCCACCGTCAGTTTTCATTCCTACTTTTTTTTTTTTAAATTCCGTTGGCTTCAGGTTGATAGAGAATTGTCTCGGCATTAGGTTGATTAGGAAATTGAAAGCTATTAGTATATTTGAAGGGACAATGAACAGTTGAAGGTTTCCATGTCATTTCTTCCATGGAGTTTTACTGGCCGCATAGATTAAGTAATGTATTGTTACCATTTCGATATAGGATGCGTTGCGGCATGTGTTCGCAAGTAGGATTGCTGAGATAACGAATTCGCAAGAGTGGAATAAGTTGGCGGTCATATCATGTTCTTGTAACCGTCTTGTGCTCATGGATGAGTCCTTGCAGCTTCTGCCGGCTGCTGAGTCGCTTGATCTGAGCCGAAACAAGTTTGCAAAGGTGGATAATCTTAGGAGATGCACCAAACTGAAGCACCTTGATCTTGGTTTCAATCATCTTAGAACAGTCTCTCACTTGAGTCAGGTGAGAAACTTCAGGCTTCAGCATATCCATGCATAGGTTTCATTTGATCAAAACTTACTGTTGTACCCGCTTTTTCCCTCGAAGTTTGTATTCTTATTGTCATTTGAACTGCTTGTCTCCATAGTTTGATAAATATGATGGGTTAATTTTGAAAACATGTATTCTGGTTTCACCCTTGGGACCAATGTTTTTTTGACAACGCAGGTACCCTGTCATCTTGTAAAACTTGTTTTGAGGAACAACGCTCTAACTACATTGCGTGGGATTGAGAACTTGAAGTCACTCGAAGGCCTTGATGTTTCCTACAATATTATTTCAAACTTTTCAGAATTGGAGTTCCTTTGGAGTCTTTCACTACTGAAAGAATTGTGGCTGGAAGGAAATCCATTTTGTTGTGCTCGATGGTACAGGGCACATGTCTTCAGCTACATTGCTCTTCCAGAGGATGTAAGTTATTTTTCTTTATTCTTGTTTCGAAGATCCTGGAATCTTGTCGTCGTTGTCGAGAAGACAGAAATTGAGCTGTGTCAGATTGTGCTTGATTTGTAATGCTTCTTATGTTGTACGGCTTTTCAGTTGAAGCTAGATGGCAAAAAGATAGGAACTAGAGAATTTTGGAAGAGGCAAATCATTGTAGCCCATAGGCGAAGTGAGCCTGCCAGCTACGGATTCTATTATCCAGCTAGAGAGGGAGGTAATGAAGAAGGAAACTGTGATAGAAAAACGGTAAGCAACCGCAAGTTCATTTACAATATACTTGCACGCATATCTATTATATTCTCTTGCTTGTAGCGACTTTTTTTCCTGCGTGATAGTGTATTCAGAGAAATGAAATAAGGAATGAAAAAATCAAGCCATTTAATTGGGCACTGTGGTGTGACTTTCTGAATTCATGCGACTTCTCTGTTCCATAAGGCACATGTCGCATTCAGCTTCTCTATTTGTGCTATTCAGTATCTTGGTTTGTTTTGTTTGCTATATATATGTATTGAAAGCTTATTATTCTGATTTAACCTTTAACAGAAAAAGATCTGCCGTGTCGCTTCTATTGATAGCACTTACATGAATTCTGACCAAGAGGCAGTTTCAAGTGATCACGAGAACAAAGAAAATGTGAAGTGTGATCAAGAGGCTGATATATCTGGTCTTATAAGGAAAGTTGAAAACATGAAGAAAGAACGGTCTGTTCTGTGGTTGCGAGAGTTCAAGGAGTGGATTGATCATTCATCAGAGGATTTCGCAAATGTCAGCAAAGACAGCAATATGGAAAAGCAGTACCTTAAAAAGACTAGTGAACTCCCAAGGAAGCATGGTGGAACACCAAGATATGCGTCCAAGTCTCTACGAGCTTCAAGAGATAAGGCCTATAGGAAAAGTTTGGAATGCAATGGTTCATACGTGGATCATAAAAACGGTCTGGATCATGTGAAGTACGTTGAAGGTAACGAGACACAGAAGATAAATGATGACATCTCTTCATTAGAACCTCGAAGTACAATTCAAAATCAGAAGTATCAGGAATATTTAGATGATGAGAAGGAATCTGTGTCAGTTGAACCAAACAACCTGATTTCTGCAGCACCTCCCATGGAGAAGTTAGCTGAAATGGGAAATATGTCAACATTTGATATAAGCCAGGATATGATGGCATCATTTTCCTCATCAACATATCCTGGGTCACCCCCTCATTATCAGAAAGATGTCTTATATCGACGTCACAGCTTGGTAGAAGAAATCTTGCAGCTTTCTGCAGATTCTTATTCAGTGGAATCATCTGATAGCACAAGCAGCTGCAGTGAAGATGCTAACTATGACTCTGAGTCTGAGTATTCGAATCATGAAGACGGTCGGTTGACAGATCTTCTTAATATGAATAGGCTAGGGGAGGACGTTCCGGTATGTGAACCAAAAGTAACAAGCTCTCTTGATTCTCAACCAAAGAATGGTAGCATAATAAAAACTTTGAGGGCTGGTGAATCGGTGAAGGAGAATACCACTAACATTCTTTCGGAATTGCATAATGGTGAACTTGATTCTGGTGTTAATCAGATTGACCATTTGGTTGATACAAGGAAAAGCAAAAGGAAGCCTATAAAAAGATTTGTTTCCTTTCAGAAAGAGGAAAGTTCTAATACTAATGAAGAGACATCTCTGAGGAGTGATGCAGATATTTGTTTTTTTGGTGAAGAGGGGTCTATTTCTAATCAATTGCAGGAAAGTTCCCTGTCAACTGTTTGTAGTAGTAGTAATAGCAATATTAGATTTATGGGGACTGAAAACGCACATGAAGGAAAAAGAGATTTGGTTGAGGGATATTTTCCAGCAAAACTGTCAGAAGCCAGTTCTCAAGAAACTTGTAGGACGTACATGAGTTGTGATTTTATACTACAGAAAGGTTCCACGTACGAGCAACGGTGAGTTTTTTTTTTTCATTTGCGTGGTTGTAGATGTGAGGTAAAGGATAGAAATGCGAGTCCCTTTCAATAGGTTTATACATTAGTTTTAATATTTGATTCCTGATTTGTCATCCTTTTCTAGTATGTCTAGGCTTTCTTATTATTCAATCGAACTGGCTCATTAGATTTAGATGCTTTGGGCTTCCTTAAACTGGGTGAAGTCTGAAATGTTTTACTTGAATTTCGGTTTCCTTTTTTAACTGCATCTCTAGTTGAGAAGAAACATCTTACCAGGATGCTATCTATTCTCGTCCGTTCTGACAGTTTTCTGAAATACAGGGAAGTAGTGTTGCTGCTGAGTAGCCTAGACAAGCTGTACGTGCTACTCCTGGGTGTGTCTACTGATTGTCAAGGTTAGGCTAATCCTCTGCTTATCACGTCATAAGTTTTGCTGATGCTGAGTTCTTAACGGCCGTGGGTCTTTACAGGGAGCACCTTGAGTTTACTGTATTCCTATGGAATCAACGATTTACAAGATGTTTCAGTTGGTCTTGGACTTCAGCTTGTGAGGTTAGTCTTTCTCTGGTTCGGCTTGGTAGATTTTGATTTCATGTCCATATCCCTGAACTTTTCTCTTTTCTTCTGGGTAGGCTACGTTTTTGGGAGGATGCAGGATTCATTTTTGTTACGAAGTGCATTGAGAAAACAACAGAATTACTCAATATCATACACGTTTATCCCCAGGCTACAGAAGTTAAATTTCCTCTGCAAAGGTAAGCTATTAACTTTCAACCAAGATTCGGCTCTGTAAATTTTTCTGTCATAATTTTTTTTCCATGTTAATGGCAGTCTGGAGAATATTCAGGTGGACTTGTTTGAGAAAGAAATATGTAGATGTATGAAGCTGAGTATATTCCAGTACAATGTTCTCCGTTTTCAGAGCAGCACTGGTGGAGGTATCTCTCTTTCGTGACTATAGTATCTTATATTGATAAAGAATTGCCTCACTGTATTTTTCATCGTCTCCCCTGAAACCACACGTGAAAGTAGACTTGGAAGTGTATTTACTATCGATAATTTTGCAAACCTGTGGTTAGGCAAGATCAATTACTCATGCTCGTGTCGGCCACCTGTAGTATAGGATTCATATTACAATCGTGTCCCCTTCGTTTTTATACTCTCCGGTTTTTATTACATGACATCAAGAACACCACCAGAGATAATCCTTCGTGTCCCTTGTTACACTTAAATGTTCCGAAAAAATTTGCACTCTACATCATGAACCATGAAGCAGCGCAGTTTTGTTGCTACAGTTTATTTAAGTCCGTTACGTCCCAAACCTCCAATACAAGCTCTCACTGATTGACTACTAAGATTTTTGTTCATTTTGAACTGAACAGAAGTGTCGTGGCGTTGGCGGTCGCTATTTGTGGCTGGTGGGCGTCTCTTTATATGCAATGAGGACTTCACACAACTTTGTTCTCGAACATCATATACCTCTTCTGCTCCATATTTCTTGCTTGACTCGTGTTGCTCCATTTCTGATATATCTGAGACGGTAATAAGCTTTTTCATTCTTATTACCCCTTTTGCTCGCACTTCATCAAGAGATGAGATGTTAACTTCCATGTACAAACTTGAATATTGTCCTTGTCCAGATCGTTGAATCGCAAGGCGGGATTGTGTCTTTGAAGATCAAAGAGAACAAAAGAGTGGATTCAGTTGCATGGAAGCTAGAGTGGTGCAACCCTGAGAATGCACTCAAGTTTGTGTCTTTGCTCAAAGCTCTTCACCCTGATTCGCCACAATGCCCGTTGGCTGTAAGATACAGGAGATAAGCCTTTGTTTCCCTTTTTTTCGTTTGGCTTTGCCGGTCATTTTCTCTATGTAGTTATGTATATAACTCACGTACATTGTTTATATTCATTTGGTTCAATTTGTTTATGGGTTAAAATCATCTCTTTTGTGCCTTTCTTTCCGTTTGTAGTAACAGAGTGTGATTTTAAACCGCTTAAAATGGTATTTTGTGCACGCAGACGTGATTTCAAACCGCTTAAATTAGACAGACAGAGCAAGAGGACTCTTGATTCCAAGTGAAACATGAGGATACACTTTTTGGTTATCGAACTTACTGTGTAAACACAAACAATAAGACATGTATTGACTTGATGTGTTAGCTAGTTCGTTAGCAGCTGAACTGATCTCGTTTTGTTCGGACAAGTTCCAGCGGTAATCTCTCCAGTGCCATCTGGAAAATATCTCACATGAATCGTTGTTACCGTATGATCCAAATCATAAATGAAGAAAAGAAAAAGAAAGAACGATTGATTGAATCTCTATCTCACCCACAGTCTTGGAGCCGTTGGATCAGATTTCGGTTGTGCTTTTGCTAGCTTTGACTTGAAACTTATGGTAATGCATACCTTAAACTCCACTGAGAAGGGGCTGTTCCACATGACAATGATCATGGCCGGCCCAGTTGTTCACAGTATAAACAAATTAGAGTCTTTTGTTTCAATGTTAACCAAAGAAACTTACCCGGCGAAAACGGACGGACACATCAGAAGCCGAGGAAGTAAAACGTAAATTGGTAGTGTCATGTTACGGCACACATCTCCATCTGCAATCTGAACGATGACATCGAGAAGAAGAACTGTCTTAATCTCTTAAGCAAGCATTTTCGATATTACAATTTATTGCATAAACAAACTAAATGGTCATAGTTAACCTGTGTAGACTGAATTAGAGAGGTCTCGGTGATAATTCTCTCCCCTACAATTATTGACTCGACACGGAGTAGGTGAATGTCGATAGAAGTAATAGGAACTGAAGATGTTTCCACTGTTAACTCGCCACTTAGTGGATCCTGCAAAGAGCATTGAGTGGCTATTTTTCCCGTCACTCGAAAACCACCTTGTGAGATCAAAACATAGTCCTATTAGTTTCTCTCATTAACAGATCAAGAGAACGGCGAAAAATCTGCAAATTGGTGTCAAGATGTTGGAAGAACAAAACCTGTTTTAATCTCGGGAAGTAACGGATGTCTCTGAGTGTCTTGAGTGATGTAGAAGATGACCATTTCTGGAGGAATAGGCCGCTCAGGAAGATCAACTTTAACCAAACAAAAAAAAAACGAGAAGAAAACATCACAAACGATCCAAATTTTCACAGAAACATCGATGAAGTCAAAGGAAAACGTACCTCTACCGCTCTCGATTATAAACTCCATTGTTGCAGATAAAGGTTTGTGCAAGTACCCTCGTGGTATATCTGCAGTTAGTAGATACTGTCACAGATTTTTGCATCAATTTTTGTTTTTCCAGTTCTCAGATGAACACACTCTTAAATCCTTTTCAAACAATGATCAGATTTACTCACTTGGATGTTGATATTTGTTCCATGAAATGTCTCATAGAACTTTTCTACAATGTTTTCCCTAGGCTCTCTAAGATTAACAGAGAATGGTATCTGCAGGAACAAACACAAACCATACAGCTCAAGTTTCAATATCTTGAGCTTACTAATTGTTGAAAAACAAATTTCTCAAAAGGGACATTGTATATTTACCTCTGTAGTTCCTGGAGCGATTTTACCAGAAGTTCTGATTTCGATCGTCTTCTTGCTGTGACCATATGTCCAAGAAACGATATATGAATCTGATAGAGAAATTAATTAAAAACAAAAAACAAAAAGAAGCTAAGAACCAAACAGAGAAACAATGCTTACACGATTTGGATGGGTTTGATGACACCATAGAAGGACTCTATAACTCCAGCTGATCCTCCACGAACCTGAGAACAGTCGGAGATTTCAAGTCGATATTGATTTTCCACGAATTTGAACAAAGGCACAATCGAGAATGTGAGACCTGTAAATTGACCGATCCGTTGACGGATAAACGTATTACTCCGTGGGAAATCGAAGTAGGAGATTTTATCACGATTTTTCCTTCCACTGGCTCCTGATCGAAAATTGGAAACCGGATAATTTAAAAGTCGCTCTTCCTCGTTAAGTATCGTAATCAGAATAAAGAGATTCGAGACATACGGAAGAGCGATAGATACGGTTTGATCGAGAAAGTTTGACATTCACCGTCGTTGCCATTGAAGCACCGAACTGAGCTTCTCCAGCAGCAGCAGCAGCAGCAGCGGCTTTGTGTGGGTTATTCAACGGCGGAATACGCGAGACGGCAAGAAGTTCTCTATGTTAGGAAACAAACAGCAGGGTATGTGTCTCCACGTTGGACTTTTCGAAAGACAAAATGTTGAAAAACGACAAGCTGTTCTATCTGAAAGTTGGAAACTACATGAAATGTAATTTCAATAAAAATGCAATAATTACTGGAGGAGAGACTAGTGTTTCTTGTAAACTTAAATACTATATGTATATAAAAAAAAAGAGAGAGTGAGTGAAGATAATAAGAAGAAAAGAAGTTGTATTATTAACTTCATTTATTTACAAAATGGGAAGTATCTTTTATAAAATTCTATTTATAAGGAGAGAGCAAACATAAACGATCATAAGTAAAAGATGATGAAATCTACACGTGATCATATTAAGAGTAGGTAAATATTGTGGTGGAGAATCATTTACTTAACACTCTTTCTTGATTATTCATCACTAATAACATATTACGTACTGTTTCGTTAAAAACTTTATCATGGAAAAACCCATTGAGATAAAAACTAGGACAAAGAAAAAAGAGTACAATATCGTAATCTTCCTTTGGAAGTGATAAATATAAAATTTATTCATAGATCTTGCAGTCGGCGCATTCCAATACTATGGACATGTTTTCTGAATGATGAAGTGGGAAACGCCTTTGAAAAAAGATTTGCTGCATTGTCACTCGAGCAAACATATTGGATATTCACTTCCTGATTCTTCTCGAGTTCTTGAGTGTAAGAGAAAAATCTTGGAGGAATAAGTTTTGTTCTATCGCTCTTGATGAAGCCTTCCTTGAGTTGAGAAACACATGCAGCATTATCTTCGAATATTTGTGTTGGTTATGTATTGATGACTATTCTACTTGCACCTTGTATATGTTGAGTCATAGATCGGAGTCATATGCATTCTCTACATACTTCATGAAGAGCAATGATTTCCGCATAATTTGAAGAAGTGGCAACCAAAATCTGTTTTTGAGAACGCCACGAGATCGTCGTCCCACTAATTGTAAAAACATATCCAGTTTGCGACCGAACTTTATGCGGATCTGATAAATATACTGCATCTGCAAAACCAACTAGACCAACTTTGGGGTTTCTAGGATAAAATAAACCCAGATTAACCGTACTTTGGAGATAACAAAAAATATGTTTTATCCCATTCTAATGTCTGCGCGTAAGAGATGAGCTGTATCTTGCAAGTAGATTAGTAGCAAAGGCTATATCTGGTCGAGTACAATTTGCAAGATACATAAGCCCATCGATAGCGCTTATATAAGGTACTTTATGACCTAATACGTTTTTGCTATCTTCATAAGGTCGAAATAGATCCTTGTTAATATCAAGTGATCTATTGACCATTGGAATACTCAACGGAGTTGCATTATCCATTTTATAGCGTTTTAACACCCTTTTGGTGTAATTTGACTGATTCACAAATATTCCGTCTTGGAAATGCTCAATTTGGAACCCTAGACAAAATTTTGTTTTTCCAAGATCTTTCATTTTGAACTTTTCTTTCATGTGAGTTCTTGCATCATCAATTGCCTTTTGAGTTCCAATTATGTTCAGGTCATCAACATATACAGCAATGGTCACAAATCCTGATGACGATTTCGTAATAAACACGCAAGGGCATATCGCATTGTTGATGTATCATTTACTCAACAAGTATTCACTCAAGAGATTATACCACATGCGTCCAGACTGTTTTAATCCATAAAGTGATCGCTGTAATTTGACCGAACATATGTCTTTAGATGTTTCAGACAGCTTTGATCCTTCTGGGATCTTTACTCCCTCTGGGATTTTTATATATATATCACTATCAAGTGATCCGTATAGATATGCAGTCACAACATCCATAAGGTATATTTCTAGATTTTTGGATGCCATTAGGCTCATTAAGTACTTGAATGTGATTGCATCCATGACCGGAGAATATGTATCTTCATAATCAATTCCCGATCTTTGATAAAAACCTTGTGCCACAAGTCGGGCTTTATATCTTGTGACCTCATTTTTCTCATTTCTTTTTCTCACAAAGACCCATTTGCACCCGACTGGCATTACATCTTCTGGTGTAATGACTATAGGTCCAAAGACATTTCTTTTATTCAGGGAGATTAATTCATTTCTCGTGACCATTTGCCATTTCTCCCAGTCAGGCCTTTTATGGCATTCTGACACAGACCTTGGATCTGGATCATCATTTTCATTTTCAGTTTCTTTGGATACTGAAAAGGAGAACATTCCATTTGTATCATTTATCTTACTTCTATCCCATAATGTCCCACTTTGGGCGAAGTTAATGGAAATCTCATACTTTTCAGTATCATGTTCGTCTTCTGGACGAACTTCTTTAACTGGTTTTTCTGGAACCTCTTCATGTATGTCTTCAGGACATATATCTTTATATGGTTCTTCTATAATCTTTTCACCAATGTCTTCAAGACATTTTTCTTTATTCAGTTCTTCTGGAACCTTGTCTCCTAATTTCTTTTTCTTTCGAGGATTTTATCCTTCAAGTCCATCGACCTCTCGCGCTTTAATTAAAACTGCGGTTCATTTACTTTATTCCCATCAATAACTTGTTCCGGAACATTTATTTTTAATGGAGCATTAGCAGCGGGGATATATGATTTCGTCACCGTTCTCCTATCTGTGAACGCATCAGGTAACTGGTTTGCCAAGCTTTGCTCATGTATTATTTTCTGAACTTCCACTTCGCGTTGATGGGTAGGGGGATCAAGATAAGCCAAGGTTTGTGTACACCATGTGATATCCTTTGCTGATTCTTTTGATCCTCTCCTTAACGCACGAAATTCATTTTGATTAAAGTGGCAATCGGAAAAACGTGTCGTAAACATATCTCCTGTTATCGGTTCAAGATATCTAGTTATACTTAGTGGCATATAGCCAATATATAGTCCCAATCTCCTTTGTGGCCCCATTTTTGTTCTTTGTGGTGGGGCTATTGACATAGACCGCACATCCAAAAATGCGGAGATGGGATACATTTGTCTCCTTGCCAGATGTTAACTGTATTGAGGAATATTCATTATATGCACTTGGCCTCATCTGGACCAATGCCCCAGCATGCAATATAGCATGTCCCCATACAGTAATTGAGAGTTTTGTTCTCAATATTAACGGTCTTGCAATCAACTGCAACCGTTTTATCAACGACTCAGCCATGCCATTTTGTGTATGAACATGTGGAACCGGATGCTCAACATTTATTTCCAATGACATACAATAATCATTAAAGGCCGCTGAAGTGAATTCACCAGCGTTATCAAGCCTGATTTTTTTTATGGCATAATCAGGGAATTGCGCTCTCAACCTGATTATTTAGGGCAATGAATCTTGCGAAAGCCATATGTCATGTGGTCAATAGACACACATGTGACCATCTATTAGATGCGTCAATTAATACCATAAAATATCTAAATAGCCCGCACGGTGGGTGAATCGCCCCACATATATAACCGTGTATTCTCTCTAAGAATACAGAGGATTCATTCCCAACTTTGGTTGGCGAGGACCTATTTATGAGTTTTCCTTGAGAACATGTTTGACATAAAAACTCTCCCGATTGAAAACCCTTCAATGGGTGGCCACTCGAGTTTTGATCAATCCTTCTCATCATGACTGATCTAGGATGGCCAAATCTTTCATGACATACTCTAAATGTACTAGTAAACCCCGAGTTTACTGTAACATATGATTCAATCATATTCATTTTTGTGCAATATAACCTAGAGGACATCATTGGTCATTCTTCCAATACATGTTTCCTCTCAGATGTAATGCAAAAATATTCAATGACATTCTTATTCGTACTTGCTATATATATGATATCCATTTCCTCGAATACCTTTAAAACTTAACAAGTTTCGGCTAGATTTGGGGGAATATAATGCATCACTTATTTCAAACTTCGCCCCCTTGCCATTGAAAAATTAGCTTTTCCGGAACCTATTATAATGTTTGCATTACCAGATATGGTACTCACGCTTCCGATGGAGTCCTTTATCGTGAGACAGGAGAAATACTTTTTATCTTTAAGTATAGTATATATCGTAGCACTGTCGGCTAGACATGTATTTCCCTCCTGAATCTCAAACGGTAACATGTTCTGAATCACAATATGCAAGAAAATGCATTAATAAACCACAACATGATTTTAGAAATTAATTTATATTAAGAAAAACCTTTTCTTGTTAACAAAAATATATTACATTCTTATTTAAAATTACATTGCTTTTTCTTGTCTTCTTCAAGAAGACTTTATATTACATTGATTTTAATCGTTTTGTTTCCGTTGATTCTTCAGGATCAACAAGGAAATCAGCGATATCAAGATGAGTACAATCACTTATGCCATCAAAGGAAGGTCGAGTTTCATTGGAGATGAAATTGGTTTCAAAATTCTTTCGTTTATCCTTTTTTTTGGCATTTTGTGAAGCTCGGTACAGATCGGCTAAATGTCTTGGCGTACGGCAGGTTTTTGCCCAATAATTTTTCATGCCGCATTTGTAACAAACAGTTTCTTTTTGCTTTCCTGCTTCCCTACCAACATCAATTTGTCTTCCTCGTCCACGACCTCGTCCGTGACCGCAGACGCGTTCGGCTCTATTATTTTGACTGGATGACGCAACATTCGCTTCAGGGAATGGCGATGATCCAGTTGGATGAGTTTGATGGTTTAACATCACAAGCTGATTATTTTGTTCACCTACAAGGATGACTTGCATCAACTCCGAGTAAGTGGTGTAACCTTTTGTCCGGTATTGCTGTTGCAGGATTATATTTCCAGAATGAAATGTTTGGAGAGTTTTTTCGATCATGTTGAAATCACTTACCTCCTGTCCACATAACACCATCCTAGAAGTATTTCTGAACATAGCAGAATTATATTCACCAACACTTTTGTAATCCTGAAACCGGAGATTCAACCAC